ACACACACACACACACACACACACACACACACACACACACACACACAGATTTATGGATTTTCAAACAGGAGTCTGGTGCAGGACAGAACGTGGATCATTAAGAGATCAATGCAGATTAATAATAATTTTTAACCTTTTGACAACAGAAGGGAGACGATGAGACGTTGTCCACCATGAACCACAACATCCTGCTGCAGGAGCGTCCAATCAAACAGACTGTCACCAGGTGAGGGGCGGAGCCTCTACCTTAATGATTAGTATTAATCATGATGAATATTGGCTCCATTTTTGAATGTCCTGATACTGTAATTGATTAAATTATAAAGTAGTATACATTTTGTTTGTATTTCGATCCATTTTTAAGCTTCTTTTAAGGTTAATTTCCCTATTTTTCTCTGTGAACAGGGAGGCTCTGACTCTTCTGCTGGATACTTTTCATAATGAAGCCGAGTACTTCCTGCTGTCAGAGGTAACAGCTCTCTCTCCAAAATGTCCTCGCGTTCCAAAATGGTCTCCCCCTTCACAATGTGTCCTCACTTACCAAACTGTCTTCCTTTTCCAGCTTTCAAAACTAAAATAATTCCTCTCAAAGACACTCTTCAGAACCCAAATTCAATTGTTTACATGGACCAAATCAAACCACATTTCTTCTTCTTCTTCTCTCCCGTTTGTCTCTGAAGGCGGAGCTGCCGCTGCACGTGGAGCGTCTCGTCCAATCGGTGAAGGCACTCTGCAACTCGTTAGCTGCCGTGGAGACGCCCGATGTGACCTCCGCTCTCAGCCAGCTCCCAGCATGCCCCTGTCGTCTGCAGCCCAAAGTCCTCAAGGTGACAGACAGACGGAGACAGTTTCATTCATGAAAACAGACGTTCACATGTTGTTCTCTTCATGGTGTCTTCTCTTCCCGTCTGTCCTCCCAGGATGCGTCAGTGCTCACTGTCAGAGAGAACAGAGGTACGTCCCAACATCATCAATGGCACAGGCTGTTCGGAAACACTACCACTTTAGTCCACAGGGACCGCCAAAATCAACACAGAATAAAAGTTCTTGTAGTAGCTTTAAGTAAAACATCTGAGTACTTCCTCTTCCTGCATAATTCTCTACAATAAGAAATACTCATGACTAAACAATGAAAGTTCAGGACAGCACCTCTGAGGTGAATTCAGAAGTTTCCAATCCTGTTTCTGACCTCGTTTCACAGAGAAAGTGGTGGAGAAGTTGACGGCGGCCATCTTGGATCTGGTAGATCTGTACTGCAGCACGTTCAACGCCAACTTCCACACGACGGCTCAGAGTCGCTGCTGCACGGCACCGGTGCAGGAGGCCGGCCTCGTCACCAACGTGCTCTCCTTCAACGTGCACGCCGCCCACCGCATTCCCATCACCTGGGCCGCCAGGTACGACGAAACAAACGCAAAACACGCAGACACAAACACCTGCTTCAGAAGGTTCCTAACGAGGTTAAAAATGACCCGAAAGTATCTGATGAGAGCTCGTCAAATCCTCTCAAATCTAAGGAAAGGTGCTTCAGTGCTTCCTTTCTTATCTCCTTTAAAGTAGGACACATTGGACAATCCTTTATGAAAAGAAAGAAGATAAATAAATATACATCATTTTGCATCCAAATTAAATAGTTTACAGAATATTCAACCATTGTTTACAATGCACGTAATACTTGACTTCTTTCTTTACAGAGATCATATAAAGTAGTTTATGAATATGAGATATAAGTTTACAGAGAACTAAAATCCATCCTCTCTATTGTGGAGGTTGTTTTTATGGCTTTTAGCCAGTTACACGTACAGTCTGTGTTCATATCTCTGAGGTACACTCTTCTTGATTCTTCAGTTTATTTTGTCTGTACGCCCTCTGGTGTTTCGGAGAATAATGCAACAAACTGCATATTGAGCATAAACGCCTTTATCGTAGCGCGGGCGCCGTCCGAGCTACGGTGCCACGCGCGACTATAAACAAAGCTTTAGACGGATGGATGGCAGCAACGAGTTGTAGTGTGAACAAGCACACTGATGATTCAGCACACTGTGTGTGTGTGTCCTGAAACAAAGGAAGCTCAGCTGAGAGCTGCTGCCCCTCCCCCACTAACACACACACACACACACACACACGCACACACACTCTCTCTCTGCCGGGCCAAAGGGCTGACTGCCTGGGAACCAGAGCTGACCTTTGACATCTGAGAGGAGGCAGGGCCGGCCAACACCTGGCTGTCAGCATCACACGCCGTGTGTGTGTGTGTGTGTGTGTGTGTGTGTGTGTGTGTGTGTGTGTGTGTGTGTGTGTGTGTGTGTGTGGTGGAATTTAACTGAGGACATTTACTCAAGTATTGTACTTAAGTACAACTTTGAGGTTTTTGTGAATATTTCCACTACTTGTACTTGGATCCTTTGCTGCAGTAGAAGTAAAAATACCACAGTCTAAAAATACTTCATTACATGTAAAAGTCCTGAAACTACAATGTTACTGAAAGTAAAAGGACAGAAGTATTATCAGCAAAATGTACTTTAAGTATGAAAAGTAAAAATACTCAAATCAAAGTGTTATCATAGAATATTATGTTGTTCTTTTTTTATCACTTACTAAAACACGTAAGAGCGTTTTTATGTTGAAGTTCTTCAAAGTGAAGCCAGTTTTTGATACTGTGTACTGCTGGGTACATTACTAGTAAAGTACTGCATCATATCATATAAATATATCAGGTTTTTAACATAAATAGTAACAACACGTGTCAAATAAATGTAGTGCAGTAAAAAGTACAATATTTACTGGCAAATTTATTTATCCGCTTTAGTTACTTTTTTACATTAAGATTTGATATAAAAACGAAAACATTATTTATAATATAATAATATAACATTTTGTTAGAGACTATCTCAGCGGTTTAAAACCTTTTACTGTTGTCCTCGTCTGGGGAATCAGTGGAAAGTGTTTATATATATTTTATATATATTATAATATATTTTGGTGAAACTTGACTAACAAAATAATTTAAAAGTGTAAGATGTTGCGCTACCTGTTTGCTGTTTTCATGCCGATCTGGAAACGGATTCATCACATTGTGATTTGTACGTCTCTGACATCATCATCATGACATCGTCATGACATCATTTCCCCGTGCCGCTCTCTGATTGGAACAGTTACGAGGGTTTCTTCCTGTCCTGCTCTCTGACTCACGGAGGGGCGGAGCTCTGCGCGCCGCAGCACACCAGCAAACAGTCGGTCAGCAAATACCTGTTCCACCTGGTGGTGTGGGACCAGAGGTACGTACCGCACCACAGCCTCACCCGCACACACAGAACAGTGTTCAGGTGTAGTTAATGATACAACTACAACTTACATTAAAGACACTACATGGCCAAAAGTTTGAATCTCCAGTAAAATAGAAATGAGTTCTTCAGGTGTGGACCAAAGACTTTATGTAAGAAGGTGATGTAGTCACCGTGACGCCACCTATCGGTTGATGGACTGATGTTTTGAAGCCTCAAGTTTGGCATTTTGGACGTCGCCATCTTGTTTTTTTACAACCAGAAGTGACACCAGAGGGTGGAGCTAAGTGCAACCGAACACTGAATGGACATTGAGATTTTTTAGCCACCAAAAATGTTACAAATAACTTTGACGAATTGAAAACACGCTGTGAAAGGGTTAAAGTTATAAGACGAAAACACCTGTCAATCACAAGGTAGCCCCGCCCCTAAAGCATCCCCTGCTTTATGGTCTGTTTGACTCTAAATGGACCATAATGTACTAAATGAACATCATGCTGTATTGAGGAAGACTTGAAACTAGAGATTGAGACCATGAACTCATGTTTACAATGTTTACTGAGGTAATAAATCAAGAGAGAAGTAGAGTCATTTTCTCATAGACTTCTATACAACCAGAGGAATCGTCCCCTGGTGGACATTAGAGAGAATGCACGTTTGCCGCCTGGTTTAGATGAACACCATGTTATCCCCCCCCCCTTCCCTCCATGCAGGGTGTGTTTCCCGGTGCAGATCAACCAGCTGCCCAGAGAGTCTCAGCTGACGGTGACTCTGTACGCCAGCTCTCTGCCGCCCCCCGGAGGAGCTGAGGAGAAGGGCAGGCAGCGGCGCAGCATCGAGGCTCTGGGCTGGGTCACCATGCCGCTCTTCAACTTCAGACAGTGAGTCACATGACGCCCCGACACAGGAAGACATCACCTCCGACTAGTTAGAGGCGGTTTGTTATGTTGACGACCTCCACGTTCACCACTTCCTGTCCTATATCTGAATTGAGAGTTACATCAGTTCCTCCGACCTTTATGATGTAGTTTCCTCCTCAGCACGAAGTGTGTGTGGACTGACCTGTGTGTGTGTGTGTGTGTGTGTGTGTGTGTGTGTGTGTGTGTGTGT